ATAAGTGAAAAAGCAGAAGTATACTAAAATATTGAAATTATGCTGTAAAATAAATGCTGAGGTTTGTGTAAACTTTACAAGGTCATAATGATTAAATAATATAACTCTAATTACAAGTGTTAGTTCTATCATATTGATAACTAGGTCAGTTGTAAAAATGAATACAAAAGCCTCTAAGAAGTTTATCTCAAAGATAAATTAGTCCTAAAATTAAGATAATAATCTGAGTATCTGGGTATAATCCAGTAAGTTAATACAGTTTATAGGTTTAGAGAGTTTAAAGTAGAACATCTAAGCAAGAGTGTTAGATACAGAAATTAGAGAAAAATCTTCAGATGGACTTCTTAAATAGATAATATAGAAAATTTATATATATAATTAATTGTATTCTTTTTTGTAATAGCTTATAAAATCTCATTACTAATAAGTCATTAATAAAAGTCAAAAGACCAAAAAGATTATCTTAATATCAAAAAAAATCAAAACTAAAAAAATACAAATTTGTAGACAAATTTGTTTATATTAGTTTATATTTTAAGAAATAAATATAAAAATTATATATAATAAAATTAAAAAATAAAAATATTTAGTTTTAAAGATTAATTTTTTTATTTAGTTTTAAAAATTAATATTTTTACTTGTTCCAATTATTGTATAAAAATATATTTTATTATTAGATTAACTAAAAAATAAAAAAAATCTTTGATAACTAATAATTAATAAATTAAAAAATATATATATATGAATACTTAAAATCAATAACTAAAAAACTATAAAATAAAATAAAATAAAATATTAAGAATAGTAATTTTAAATAAAAAAAAAAAGAGATGTAGTGACCTAATGAAGTAGATAAGTTATTAATCTCCAAGTGGTAGATCTAAAGTTCAATTCTTATAGATGACTAATTTTAAAAATTATATCTGTATTATAGTAATTGTTTCTTATTAATCAGTTGAGTTTGAACATTTATAATCTTAAATACACAAAATAAATCCTACTTAATATTAAGAGTTTAAAATATTTATACAAAATATAACATTACACATACATAGAGAAATGTAAAAAAACTAATATTATATAAAACTTCAGTACAAATCTATAATAAAACTACTAGACATAAGAGTTAAAAAAACTGAAAAAACAAAATCTTACTAGAAAATTCTGAATAAAGAAATAGTACAAACTTTCAATAATACGGTTGGACTAAAAAAAGACTATGAAACACCTTCATAGAAATTGTTAAATAAACTGAATGACAAGTTGCATAGAAGAGCACATGACCAACCAGATCACTAGAATCATTAGAAAAAAGATACATAAGTAAATTATACTAGACTATTTGAATTGAAAGTTTGGAAAATCTGAGTTACAACTAATAAAAAATGATGATGAAGATATTAAAAAAACAAGTATTAAAGTTTGAGTGAAATTTACAAAAGTAATAACAGTTTAATGAATAATTCTGATTACAAATGTTAGTCTTAATCATAACAAAAAATTCAAGTTAACAGTAGATAAGAAATATATAGTTTACTCTGATAGGTTTATTCTTAAAGATAAAATATCCTAAGATTAAGATAAGGATCTAGGTACAAATGACCTAGTGAAGTTAATACAAGGGTTTTGAATCAAAAGGTTTAAATAGAACATCTAAGCAGAGATGTTAAATAGAATAGCTGGTGAGAAACTTCTAGAAACTTCTGAACAAACTCTTAAATAGGTAATATAGAAAAGTTACACATGTAGCCAGTTATATACTTGTCATGATGCCTGACAAAAGTATTAATAAAATCAAAAAACCAAAGAGGTCACCTTAAAAAAAAAATAATACTAAATACTAAAAAACAAAACCTAAAATCTAAAAAGTAATAATAAATAAAAAAATATTTAAAATAATGATTTTAATTAAACAAAAAAACAAAAAGAAAGATATGAAAACACTAGAAACCAACGGCCTATCTAAAAAAAATAAAAACAGTTTAAAAACAAGAAATATTGTAAAAAGAAATAAAAGTTAATAAAAAATAATAAAAAATAATAAATACCAAAATGAGAAATTGTGTAAAATAAAAAAAAGAAAGTATTTATAAATATATACACATTCATAACTTTGCAATTTTGATCGTATGATCAACTGTGTCCAGTTAGAAATTACTTTTTTGATGTATTTAAGATTAGTGTAATTTATAAAAATATCAAGAATATAATTTAAACAATATTGGTCAAGTGTAATGTCAAAAAATTTTCAGAGTAATGATTTAATTAAGGGATCTGCGAGTTGCAGCATATATAAAATTATATGGTGATCTATATGTTTTTAAAAAATAACAGTTTTCACTTATAAGCTAACACTTGTATCTTACAATATAACTGATATTCTTCATTATAACAAAAAAATTTCATTGTTTCATATTTTTTAACTATCTATATTTTTTTATTCTTATAATAAAACCTTTGAAGTATCTTGTTTTGAAAATAGTGTTTTGAGACTGTTGACAAAATCAAACTCGAAATTTGATTGGCTGATGTGACCAATCTGCGATAGATTGACAATTTAAAAAATTTTAATCATAACGTAATATCTTAACTTTCATAGCTCATATCTTGATGAATTTCAGAAATATCTTAATAATTTAATATTTTAAAGAAAACAAAAGATCTATACTTCCTTTTTGTTATTAAATTATTAAGATATCTCTATAATTTATTGAAATATGAATTATGAAAGTTGAGGTATCAAATTTTTTTTAAAATTGTCAATTTGCCTGATTTCTATTGACGGCAACCAAAATGTTAACATTAAGGTTATCTCATATTATCCTTGTTCATCCAAAGTTCATTATCATAATAATATTCTTGAGAAAGCAAAAATCATAAAATCATATGAATACAATTCTAGTCTTAGCATTAGTATCATGTAGTTATCAAACAGCTCTTATATCAGGTTTCAGGATTGTTAAGTGAAGAAAGTTTACTATATGAAGAAATAAGTAGTCAGATTGTTAGTAATAAGGATAGTGCTAATAAACAAAAATATGATATGAACATTCTACATGATGTACATACTTGCATTGAAGATAATTGTAAGAAAAATGTAGGAGAATAAGTCATAATTACAGTAGATTAGATAATTAATAAGAAAGCATAAAATAAGTATAAGTGTAAGAAAGTTAATTAATAAAAAATAATGTAACTGATTCAATCGAATATATAAAATAGCAAAGTAAATAAATTAGTTTTTTTACTTTTCTAATGCTAATAAATTATAAAAAAATTAATATACATGTTTCAAGTAGCCTGTATTTGGCAAGCTAAACAGAAATTGACATTAAAGATCTTTCTGATTAGGCATATAGGATAGATTGCTTCTGCTTAACCCTATAACAATTTAAACAAAATTTCAGGTGATGTTAATGTAAAAGAAAAAAATAAACAAAGAAAAAATAAGTATTAATAGCATTTATTTATAACACTTTATTGAATTCTCGATCAATGAAATATAAATAGTTAATGTTAATGTTCATTTATGTGAGTTATGTTATTGAACTTCAAATAAAAAATTTTTAATATACAGTTGTGAAAGTTATTAAAGTTATTATAATATAGATGCTAACAGATAAGAGCTCAATATATTCTTCTTCTCAATGGCCTCAGATCAGTATAAGTTTTAAAATAATTAATAATATATATTGATTATTTTAAAACTTGTCATGATTCTGAAGCCATTGAAAAGGAGCTATATTAAGCTCTTATCTGTCAGACAGGGCTTAGATGCTATAGTAATATGCTAGCTATTTAAAAAGCATTATTCTGAATATATGAATATTGTATTGTACTAATGCTAATTTTCAAAAATAATACTTCAAACAATTAGCATTAGCACAGTAAATGGCTGGCATATAACTATAGTGTCTGAAGCTCTGCTGTTAGTGTAGTATATATTTAATGACATTACTTTATACATACTTTATTTAGCATATATAAATAATCAAAGGTTATGCATGCAGCTATTTTATTAACATTAATTTGTAACCAATTGTTATAATTGTTGTCCTTCATATTCAGAATAATGATAATAAATTGAATGTTCTTTTTCTTAAATATTAAAAATAGAAATATTACATACTGATATCTGATCAAAGTACATTATTACAAAAAAAAAAGTGTTTAGGTTAAGAAAAGGTATTGCTAGTGGAAAATTAAATTAAAATGCAAACAAAATAAGAAATATGTCAATAATATCAAAAGTAGAGCTCATGACATATAAAGTTTAGTCCTCATGCAATTGTGATACAAAAAGCACTCTTGATTTTACAAGTATTAATATGTATACAAAGGTTTTTGCAAAGTTTGCATATATGTATATATTTATTAAATAATTTGATATAGTCTCTCCAAGCAGAGGCCTTTTTCAATTTTTAACAGCTGACATATCTTGTTTGATATGTCGAAAGTAACCCAGATTTGTATAAGAAGAGCATCTTCCTGCATTGCGAATACACAATGTAAAACTTCTAATTATATAACATAGTTAGCAATTTTATTTTACAATGCAGGAAAATGCTTTCTTCGTGCAAATTTAAACTAAAACAAGTTAGAGAAGCTGCTAAAAATTGAACAAGACCTCTGCTGTCTCCCCATACATATATCAAATTTGAATAAAATCTTCTCTTATACTAATTTTTTAAAAAAATTCTATTGCTATATTTCTGTATTTATGTTTTGGGGTAACTTTTTTTTTCAAGCTCAGAAATTCAAATTTTATAACAATAAGTTTAAAAATCTTATAAATATAATCACTCCTTTTTTTTTGCCATCTGCAAACTTTACAATTTCAAAAACTTATATTGTATATTATCTTATATCTATATGATATAATGACATCTACTATATCAGAATCATTAACAAGCAAGAACCTAAATACAAAAAATGCACTTCTTTTTAATGAATTCATTAATATCAATGAGTTTAGGTATAAAAGTGCAGATAATGAGAATATGTTTGGTAATGAAACTACAAGTTACAAGTCTGAAAGTTGTAATAAAAGTAATAATCATAATTTTGACAATATTGATACATTTATCTTAGATAAAATAAGCTTTGATAAAGCCAGAATTTTTGCTGAGAATGAAGAGATTTGTTATAATACTTTTTTGAAAAAAGATGATGAATTTGAAGTAAATTCAGCATTTTCAACAGAGATAGAATCAATATCAACCTTATCATGTAATGAAAGTATAGAATTGCAAGATGATAATAGCAGTAACATATGACACCTATCACCTTGCATGATTCTGGATTTTATTAATAGTCAATTTCAACAATGCTGCAACATAGGATTAAATCAATGTTCTCTCAAACAACTTATTGATACATGGGAATAGACAAGAAAACATTCGAAAAAGCAAAACATGACAATTAACTTTATAACTTGAGGGTGTATTCATCTTATTTTTCCTATGATGCTGCCAAGCTTTACTTATCATATCTTAAAAAAGAATACTCAATTAAAAAAAGTTGGATTCATATTAAGTGTTATCTTTTTTGTAATAAATTTAACTCATTTTTTAGTTATAGAGAAAATTATATACAATATTCAGTATGTATAGTTGGCAAAAATGTGCAGGTACCCTGCTCTGGTCTTAAAGTCTGTTCTGTCTTTGAAGTGAAGAATATTTTAGATACAATTCTCAAAAGTCAGATAGTGAACATCGAACTCGATATATATGTTCTCAATGTTTTAATAAGCATGATAGTCATTTTTATAAGCATATAGGAAGTAGAAAAAATCATAGTTTTTTTTATAAAGAAAATTATACAAATGATATTACTGAGATGCTTCAAGTTTTTGGAAACTGGATTTTACAAACTGCTACTATGGGTAATGACAACATAAAAAAAGAATTATTAGCCTAGTTATTAACAATACTTGTAATATTTAACAAAGAAGTACAACATTCTATGAAGCTTGTAAATTTTTTTCTTCTTAAAATAATATTTAAAATTGGACAAGTAGATCTTTTTACACATTCTAATAAATGTTTTGGATTTATGCCAGAAACTTCGAAAAAATTGGTAAGCAATTAGGAGTTGCAATTTGGAAGTCTCAATTCCTTATACATTAAAACAGATCCAAACTTGAATCACCATCATCATTAAAAGAATATTATAGTGAATTTCTGTCTTTTTTAATATCTTTTTTTACATCATTAATTATTATTTTATATATAAAAAAATATAAAGCTAATAATTACAAAAAAGTAAGTCACAGTTTACCAATTCCAGATTTTGATAAATTCTATGCTACAAAGATTTCAATCTTTCTTACCTCTATAATTATATATATCGCTTCATCTTCTACAAATTTGTAGCTTTATTATATCTTAAGTTCATTAAGTCATAAACCCAAAATGATGTCTTCTTTATATGCAATTCTTTATTTAGCAGGTGTTATTTCTCATAGTCAAAATTATGAATATCAATTAGAAAAAATTTGTTTAAATGAATCAAAATCTGAGAATAGGTTAATTAGAGAGAAAAATGTATAGAGTATCTGTGTTATAAATAACATAGATTTTGCTAAAAAGTCATTTTCATATGAAAATATATATGATAGTTCTCAAATAACATTTTATGCAACTATAAGAATGGTTTTTTAGTTTAGTCTTTCAAACTTGATTCAAACTATTGTTTTACAAGGTGCAACAAATGATAACATAATGCAGCCTTTATTTGGTGAATCATTATTTACTAGTAATTTATTAAACCTTTATGAAAACATTTTTGTTCAACTTTTAGAAACAAAACTAAATAATTGAAATGTTAAAGATGCACTTAATGAAATTAGAAAATATATACCACTTAAATATTAAATACCACCTCTAAATGTTGTTATATTAAGACCTGGAAAAAATCCCAATTGTAATGCAAATGTACATCAAGCTTGTGCAATGTATTTTGATGATATTGGATTAGAAAATACAAATTATATCAATGTTGCTTGTGATGAAGCTTTATTTAAGCAGTTAATATCTTATAAAGATAACAATCCACAGGTTAGATTATTATTAGAGCAATGGTATACATCAAAAGATATATGTAGTGCACTAATTACACTTTTTTTAGGTTATAGTATTTTTGGTTTAGCTGCTTGATTAGGTGTGCTTTATCTTGATAAGTTAGAAAAAGTGATCGATTATTCTGCAACTTGTCAGGTTTTAGAACTAATTTGGATTGCAGTTGGATGCACACTTGTTTAATATGCTTATAAACAAGAAAAATTATTGCAAGAAATTAAACATGGAACAAATAAAATTGCAAGAGTATAGTATTGTTATTTTTGTTAGAGAGCATATTGGTTAAGTCATAGGATTGGAATTAGAAAAAGCAATTTCAATATACAATTTAGAAACCTTGCTGCTTTTTTATCATTTTTTCTTGCAGCAGGAAAACATAATTATGCTAGGTCTGTTTCTTTTTTTTTATCTTATATTGAAAGAGATATTAGCTTTCAAAACCTTCTTAAACATATGTATTCAGTTAATATTACATACAAAGATCATTTTTTGAGTTCGATGAGGCATTAAAAAGATTTGGTATCCAATTTATTAAGCAAAAATGATTAATAAATGATGAGTTAAAGTTACAAATATCTTCTATACAGGCAGAAAGGAAACAACTAGAATTGCTAATTTCTGAATATATTAGTGATAAGCTTTATATTAAAGAAGAAAGAACAATAAAGTCACAAAAAGAATCTTTTTGGAAACTTATTTCTGATTTATCAGATGCATTTTCTTAACCTGATTTATCATATGAACTTTTTCTTAATGCTTCAGAACTCTATGAAGCAGGCTTTCAATATCTATTTTCATGCTATGATGAAGGTATTGGTTGTCTCTATAAAATTTTAAAACAGGATGTTTATAAAACTAAAACCCGAGATGTAAAAGAATGCTGAGCATGCAATGTTGTAACTTACAAATGGCAAAACTTATTAGAAATGAATAAGTTTAAAGTTAAAAAAATTAAAAAGCAAATACTTAAAACTGGTATTGTTTGTACAAAAAAATTACATCAAAAGCATCAAACTACTGAAGAAGAAAAAAACATACTTGAGTCTATTCTCTCAAGAAAAGATTTTTTCTAATAATAAACTTTCTGATCTTCTTTTACAACTTAATAATATATCTACTGGATGGACAGAATCCCATACAAAAATTTTTTGGAGAAATAATAGAATTAATAAATAAGGTAGTATATATTTTCTGCTACTTGTTTATATCGAATATACTTTAAATATAATACTATTTAAATCATTAAGATACAACTATTGAGTTTGAATATTAAATGAGTTATAGAAATTCAATAAGATAAATAGATGATGAGAATAATTAAATATATAGTTATTATATTTTATTAGTTAAAGTATAAGATAAATAAAGATAATTTTAAAAGAATCTTGCATTGTAATATCATTTTCTTTAATTTATTGTATTATTTAAAGTGAAAAGACTATATTTACTTTGCTATTTTATATTACACTTACATTTAATTAAATCATTTACATCATTTTTTAATTAGCTTCCTTATCATTATACTCTTTTATTAATCATTTTTCATTATAATCATGATTTATTTTTCTACATTTCCTTTATAATCATCCTTAATACAAGTATTTACATCATATGGAGTGTTTGCATCATATTTTTGTTTATTAACACTACCTTTTTCACTAACAGACAGAATACTTATTTGATTTTGTTCAATAATTATCAGAACCTAATACAAAGCTGTTCTAGAACTATGCGACACTAATGCTATAGTTATAATTGTATTTACATAATCTTGCAGACATATGGCATATAAGTCTGTGAGATTATATGACATTGGAATATTCGATTAATTATCATTATGTTTGACAAAACAATATATATTACTATATAAAAATTAAAGATTTTTTCGAGTAAAGCAATTTGCTCTAGAAATCTAAAAATATACAAGTTATTTTTTACTATTAAACTTTGAAAAAATTCTTAATACTGTAATTAATTTTTATATGATACTGCATATTTATATAGTTAACTGAACACCTAATATGATATTAACTTTTATGAGAATATTATAACAATAAAGAAATTTTGGATAATGGTAGATGATCTTAATGTTAACATTTGGGCTGCTGTCAATAGAAAAAATCAGGCAGATTGACAAAAAAAAATTAATACTTTAACTTTTAAAACTCATATCTTAACAAATTTCAAAACTATCTTAATAATTTAATAGTTAAAAAAAACCTAAATCATAAGCTTTTTTTTAACTATTAAATTATTAAGATAGCTTTGAAATTCATCATGATATGAGCTTTGAAATTAAGATATTAATGTAATATATTCTTATGTTAATTTCTATAGTTATGTTTATTAAATATACAAGGTCACTAGCCAATGTTACCCTAGTGACCTCCGCAGTTAATGGCACAGTAATGTACGGTTGGTATATAGTAGTGGGTCATTTTTTAGGCCGACTTGCAGATCACTTAAATCTACTAAACAAGGAAATTTAACTGACATTATCAGCCACAGTGGGTAGAGTTAAAGTTTTAATGTTGGTAGAAAAAAAAACTAAGCCACTGGGTCATTTTTTTTTGACCCAGTGGCTGATAACTCTGGCCGAAGGTCAAAAAATACAGGGCCGTTAAGCCACTGGGTCATTTTTATAATTTCTTAATTTTGGCTAAAAAAATAAATAATTTCAGCTGAAAAAAACAACATATATAAAGCTTATAAAAACATTTTATTTATATTATTTTGTATGAATATGCGAAAAAGAAAAGAAACGAATCAAAGTTAGAGAAAATTTTATTAGGTAATGTGAGTTTGTAGTCTTAATAAAAGTTGTTCAGTATAATTAGAAGTACTAGAATCTCTGATTTTATGAATATTGAGTGTAAACTCATTGAAAAACAATGATTTTTCTCTTTAAAAACATATATAAACAATTTTTTAAAGAAAATAGTTATTTGTAATCAGCTTCGGATTAATTTTTCTTATTCTAAACCTATTTTACGCTTCTAAGTAAAGTTGTTAAGCATGTTTTCATCTATTAGTATATAAATTTTTAGATTTCTAGAGTTAGTATTCATTGAGATATTAACATTTTTCTATTTTATTTTGTAGACAAATTTGTGTCTATGATGAAAACAATGATCGATTGAACTCATCATTTTTTATCTTGATTCTAAACCTCATACTGCGCTTTAAGATAATTGATAGAGTAAGTATATAAAATTTTTCCCTGA